CAAGTGCTTGGGTGCTGTTTTCCAACCCCTGATGCATGCCTTGACGCTTCCTTTCTCGCCACTATGCTACCCTTCTCAGATTGCTCTGAAACTCATATGGGGTGCTCAAGGCATGGATAGTAAGGGGTGGTAAAGAATTCAGACCATCCCCATCACGCTAGCATGGTTATCCATGCCATAACATCAAGTGCTTGGGTGCTGTTTTCCTACCCCTGATGCATGCCTTGACGCTTCCCTTCTCGCCACTATGCTACCCTTCTCAGATTGCTCTGAACCTCATATGGGGTGCTCAAGGCATGGATAGTAAGGGGTGGTAAAGAATTCAGACCATCCCCATCACGCTAGCGTGGTTATCCATGCCATAACATCAAGTGCTTGGGTGCTGTTTTCCTACCCCTGATGCATGCCTTGACGCTTCCCTTCTCGCCACTATTCTACCCTTCTCAGATTGCTCTGAAACTCATATGGGGTGCTCAAGGCATGGATAGTAAGGGGTGGTAAAGAATTCAGGCCATCCCTATCGCTCATTGCATGGTCTACCCCATCGGTTGATCAAAAGAACCCAACATCGTGGAGGTATCGAGCAAGCCTGCAAAATCTGAGGCCTGGCATGCTACCCAATCAAGAATAAGGTGACAGCTTGGGACCTTAGTAGGTAACAGCACCGGCCTAGATTTCCAAACCAAAAAAGAACCCGTTTGAAATTAACGCAGGTCTGTGATAGCCAGAGAATGATCTAGCAAGTGCTAAGAGCAAGCCTTGTTGAGCCAAAAGTGACGAAAATAGTGGAGTCATGCAAAAATACAAGATTGACCTATATTGTACAGGACCTTGTGGGGAAGTTTGAAAGTTATTGAAATATCAATATGAGTCACAAAATGCAACGATATGAGTGCATAAACGTGATTGTTACATTTGGGCGTATGAGCCGATAACTCATTTAGAATTCTGTATTTTGGCATTGAACCAGCCACATGACAGTTCATCCAACAAAACACATACGGCTAGCAAGCATGCAGACATATCACACTGGACGGGCAAAGGTGACTTTGCCACTGTGGCTCACAATTAATCTTCTTTACCCACCTATATGACTTACAAACATATCTAGTTCTTTCTTAGTGGTGATGAGTGGTTGTACAGTGGCTGCCATATTTACAGCTTCCATATTCTAGGCAGTCGTGGGATGGGAAGCAGAGATGAACGTTGAGTGCGGTGCGCAGCGCACAATCTGTTTTTGTATCGACCGTCAGATGCCAAAGTCTTTGGCCAATCTTCACAACACACGCACGTAGTTGCTTTGTCACTTGCGCTCCACAAGCCGTGGATCCAAGTCTCACCCACCCTCCCGCAGCATAGTCATCATCGGCTTAGTCACACAGTCAACCAATTTTCACAACACTATCTTGCCCTAGTTCTGTACCTCGCCAACTCTCTCAATCTCACGCGTGCTGTTGGTGTTCGAAGCATCAAGCTCTTCCGTGTGAAGACCATGACTGTCCAGTTTTTGGTTGTGTAGGTCACATTGATTCCGTCGATAGAGCCTACTAAGTTCCGTCTCCTACAGTGTTCACTCGTTCGCTAAGCTGTTTGCATGATAGATGTGTCATATAGTTGTCATAATTACTCAAAGAAACGAGATAGACCCATCAGACGGTTAAGCAGCGCGTGATGACGGTCATCGTCACTGACGGCCTGACGATGGATGCGGCGACAAATGGTGGTCGTGGCGTCAGAACTAAGGGCAACAGAGGTGGACGTGGCGGTCGTGGGTCGGCTAAAAGACCTAAATCGCCGGTTCCTGAAGGTTAGTTTCCTTTTTAACCGTATCAACCAAGTTCCGAACTTCACTCGGCTGGAACCCATATTCACAACGGCACTCTGATTCTCTCCACTTTTATTTGGGCGTATGCAGGCTCCAGGGGTTACCGCTCGCTGGACAATGTCATGCAAGAGGCTCCACCCCGCAACGACGAGCCACTCACAACCGACACTAGCGGTCACGCGCCTATAATACCGACGACGGTCAATCTCGGACAAGCGGCTCCTCCAGCTCCCGCGACGACGGGGTGTTCGACTCGACGTCAGCAAGCTGCTGCCGCTGCGCAGGCTAAGGCTGCACTCATCGCTCAGCAACATGCGACTCAGCAACATGCGACTGCCACTGCTAACCCTGCGGCGTCTGTGGGTGCTCTTGCTGCACTCGCCAAGCAACAGAAGAAGCAGCAAACGCAGCGAACGCAGCAGCACCAGAAGCAGCAGCAGCGGCAGCAGCAAACGCAGCAACAGCAGACTCAGCAGCAGCAGTCTAATGCGATGGAGGCGGCATCTGCGGGCGCAATAGCAGCCTTCGCGCTGCCAACGCAGCAGCAGTCTCAACGGCAACAGCAACGACAGCAGCAGCAGCGCCAGTCGCAGCAGCATCAGCAGCAGCAGCAGATGCAGCAACAGTCTTCCGCGGCGCCTACTGCCCAAGCTCCGCTCCTCGCGGTAACAAGCCCGCCCGCCAATGCTTCGCCTGCGGCATCTGCGGGGGCTGGAGCCGCGTTCGCCCCTCAGCAACAGCAGCGCCAGTCGCAGCAGCATCAGCAGCAGTCGCAGCAGCAGCAGCAGTCGCAGCAGCATCAGCAGCAGTCGCAGATGCAGCAGCAGCAACAGCCTTCCGCGGCGCCTACCCAAGCTCCGCTCCTCGCGGTAGCAAGCCCGCCCGCCAATGCTTCGCCTGCGGCATCTGCGGGGGCAAGAGCCGCGTTCGCCCCTCAGCAACAGCAGCGCCAGTCGCAGCAGCATCAGCAGCAGCAGCAGATGCAGCAACAGCCTTCCGCGGCGCCTACCCCAGCTACGCTCCTCGCGCATCAAATCCCGCCCGCCAATGCTTCGCCGGCGGCATCTGCGGGGGCACTAGCCGCGTTCGCCCCGCAGCAACAGCAACGCCAGTCGCAGCAGCATCAGCAGCAGCAGCAGATGCAGCAACAGTCTTCCGCGGCGCCTACCCAAGCTCCGCTCCTCGCGGTAACAAGCCCGCCCGCCAATGCTTCGCCTGCGGCATCTGCGGGGGCAAGAGCCGCGTTCGCCCCTCAGCAACAGCAGCGCCAGTCGCAGCAGCATCAGCAGCAGCAGCAGATGCAGCAACAGCCTTCCGCGGCGCCTACCCAAGCTCCGCTCCTCGCGGTAACAAGCCCGCCCGCCAATGCTTCGCCTGCGGCATCTGCGGGGGCAAGAGCCGCGTTCGCCCCTCAGCAACAGCAGCGCCAGTCGCAGCAGCATCAGCAGCAGTCGCAGATGCAGCAACAGCCTTCCGCGGCGCCTACCCCAGCTCCGCTCCTCGCGCATCAAATCCCGCCCGCCAATGCTTCGCCGGCGGCATCTGCGGGGGCACTAGCCGCGTTCGCCCCGCAGCAACAGCAACGCCAGTCGCAGCAGCATCAGCAGCAGCAGCAGATGCAGCAACAGTCTTCCGCGGCGCCTACCCAAGCTCCGCTCCTCGCGGTAACAAGCCCGCCCGCCAATGCTTCGCCTGCGGCATCTGCGGGGGCAAGAGCCGCGTTCGCCCCTCAGCAACAGCAGCGCCAGTCGCAGCAGCATCAGCAGCAGCAGCAGATGCAGCAACAGCCTTCCGCGGCGCCTACCCCAGCTCCGCTCCTCGCGGTAACAAGCCCGCCCGCCAATGCTTCGCCTGCGGCATCTGCGGGGGCAAGAGCCGCGTTCGCCCGTCAGCAACAGCAGCGCCAGTCGCAGCAGCATCAGCAGCAGCAGCAGATGCAGCAACAGCCTTCCGCGGCGCCTACCCCAGCTCCGCTCCTCGCGCATCAAATCCCGCCCGCCAATGCTTCGCCTGCGGCATCTGCGGGGGCAAGAGCCGCGTTCGCCCCGCAGCAACAGCAGCGCCAGTCGCAGCAGCATCAGCAGCAGTCGCAGATGCAGCAACAGTCTTCCGCGGCGCCTACCCAAGCTCCGCTCCTCGCGGTAACAAGCCCGCCCGCCAATGCTTCGCCTGCGGCATCTGCGGGGGCAAGAGCCGCGTTCGCCCCTCAGCAACAGCAGCGCCAGTCGCAGCAGCATCAGCAGCCGTCCGCGGCGCCGACGACCATGGCTGCACTCTTCGCAACACCACCGTCGCCTGCCAATGCTGAACCCAATGCTTATGCGGCGGCAAACCTTACGACATGCACTAGCAGCTGCAGCAGCAGCAGCAGTGGATAAGCACACCAAACAACTCACCCACATCTGGCACATTCGGCTCCCTGCTAAGAACGCCAGTTGCACCAGCTACTGCAGATGCTACATACCCTGGACAGTGGCAGTACTCTCCACACCTTGTTCACCCCGATTCTCCCTTCCCCCCAGTCAATCCCTCACACATGCAGGCTCCATCAGCTCCGGCCAACGCCATCTATGGCGAGATAACCCTGGATGTTAATGCTGGCATTTACTCCATACCCGGCCCGTGCACCCGCAGACCCGATGAGTATGACTTTACTCATTGCGATTCGAACGAGCTGGATGACGGATCTCCGGATGCCCCTAACGAGCTACAGCATCACCCCACCAGGCCAGTAACTGACCTACCAGCCTCACCGAATGTCACTGTGCCGGACATGGCACGCGCCTTTCCACCTACGCCCGTCTTTCCATCTATCCCAACAGGTGGTGTGGACGCAGATATCATGGATGAGGATGATGATGATGCGTGTGACGATGATCAATTGGACCAGTGTGCTGCAGGAGCTCCAGTGAGCAGAGCGGAGTTCGATGCCATGGCTGCCCGTGTCCGAGCTTTGCAGCGTGAAAATCAAGCGCTGAAGAACCAGGTTGATACTCTCCGTCAACTACCCTCTTCTTCCCCCCCCCCCTTGGTCGAGTTTGAAACTCCTCGCTATTTGACATCTCGCCAAGCCGTGGGAGCTGCTGTTGCAAGCGCGTTCAACAACAAGGTGCCATTGAGCAATGACGTCGTGGCTCCAGAGTTTCACGAGTTCGCTCAGGTCCTCGCGAGGGCCATGAGGACCGTACCAACTCAACCCGGGGGTTTCACTGTAAGTAGAAGACCTTAAACCCAATGTCATGCATCCCCCCTCTCATCCTTCAACCTTTGTCCAGCATCCCCCCTCTCCTGCTTTACCCTCTGCCCTGCTTCCCGCCCTCACCCGCCCTGCCCTTTGTCATGCATCCCTCACCACTGTTTTACCCTTTGTTCTGCCTGCATCTCACGCTTCGTGCATCCCCCCTCACCTGCATCCCTCTCTCCACCATACCCCTCTCCTGCATCCCTCTCTCCACCATACCCCTCACCTGCATCCCTCTCTCCACCATACCCCTCACCTGCATCCCTCTCTCCACCATACCCCTCACCTGCATCCCTCTCTCCACCATACCCCTCTCCTGCATCCCTTGCACAGCTTGTCATGGACGAGGCGTTGGACATTCTGTTTTTTCGAACGCCAAACAGCAGAGTCGATTATTGGCCGGCACGGTGCAGTATCCTGGGCGCCATGGAGGTGGCGATGGGGTACACGACGAAGGCGGAGAAGTGGAACCTGCTTCATGTGTACCAGTTCGACTTTGACAGGCGGAAGTACATCCGCGAAAGGCTCCAGGAGTTCAGGAACGACTGCCTGACGGCGGGCCGGTGCGCGGTGATCAACTCCTTCGACCTGCACATATCGCGCCCGGACAGGCGCCGGGAGGTGCACGGTAGCACAAACGTCACCACGTTCCTCACCGGCAGGTCAGTACCATTGAGTAACACCATGTGATACCCAGTCCTGTGTAGGGTTTTTTTTGTTTTGCAGAGCTACTGCAACGCACGGGACCTAATACCACTCTCTCCTCTCCCCCCATCTGACCCCCTATCCTGTGTATCCCTCTGTCTTGCAGAGCAACTGCAACGCACGGGACATAATACCACTCTCACCTCTCCCCCCATCTGACCCTCTCTCCCCTGCGTGTCCCTCTGCCTTGCAGAGCCACAGCAAGGCACGCCGCAGTCACTATCACTCTCACCTCTCCCCCCATCTGACCCTCTCTCCCCTGCGTGTCCCTCTGCCTTGCAGAGCCACAGCAAGGCACGCCGCAGTCACTACCACTCTCACCTCTCCCCCCATCTGACCCTCTCTCCCCTGCGTGTCCCTCTGCCTTGCAGAGCCACAGCAAGGCACGCCGCAGTCACCATCACTCTCACCTCTCCCCCCATCTGACCCTCTCTCCCCTGCGTGTCCCTCTGCCTTGCAGAGCCACAGCAAAGCACGCCGCAGTCACCATCACTCTCACCTCTCCCCCCATCTGACCCTCTCTCCCCTGCGTGTCCCTCTGCCTTGCAGAGCCACAGCAAGGCACGCCGCAGTCACTACCACTCTCACCTCTCCCCCCATCTGACCCTCTCTCCCCTGCGTGTCCCTCTGCCTTGCAGAGCCACAGCAAGGCACGCCGCAGTCACCATCACTCTCACCTCTCCCCCCATCTGACCCTCTCTCCCCTGCGTGTCCCTCTGCCTTGCAGAGCCACAGCAAGGCACGCCGCAGTCACTACCACTCTCACCTCTCCCCCCATCTGACCCTCTCTCCCCTGCGTGTCCCTCTGCCTTGCAGAGCCACAGCAACGAACGGCGCACTCACTACCACTCTCACCTCTCCCCCCATCTGACCCTCTCTCCCCTGCGTGTCCCTCTGCCTTGCAGAGCCACAGCAAGGCACGCCGCAGTCACTACCACTCTCACCTCTCCCCCCATCTGACCCTCTCTCCCTTGCGTGTCCCTCTGCCTTGCAGAGCCACAGCAACGAACGGCGCACTCACTACCACTTTCACCTCTCCCCCCATCTGACCCTCTCTCCCCTGCGTGTCCCTCTGCCTTGCAGAGCCACAGCAAGGCACGCCACAGTCACTATCACTCTCACCTCTCCCCCCATCTGACCCTCTCTCCCCTGCGTGTCCCTCTGCCTTGCAGAGCCACAGCAACGAACGGCGCACTCACTACCACTCTCACCTCTCCCCCCATCTGACCCTCTCTCCCCTGCGTGTCCCTCTGCCTTGCAGAGCCACAGCAAAGCACGCCGCAGTCACCATCACTCTCACCTCTCCCCCCATCTGACCCTCTCTCCCCTGCGTGTCCCTCTGCCTTGCAGAGCCACAGCAAAGCACGCCGCAGTCACCATCACTCTCACCTCTCCCCCCATCTGACCCTCTCTCCCCTGCGTGTCCCTCTGCCTTGCAGAGCCACAGCAAGGCACGCCGCAGTCACTACCACTCTCACCTCTCCCCCCATCTGACCCTCTCTCCCCTGCGTGTCCCTCTGCCTTGCAGAGCCACAGCAAGGCACGCCGCAGTCACCATCACTCTCACCTCTCCCCCCATCTGACCCTCTCTCCCCTGCGTGTCCCTCTGCCTTGCAGAGCCACAGCAAGGCACGCCGCAGTCACTACCACTCTCACCTCTCCCCCCATCTGACCCTCTCTCCCCTGCGTGTCCCTCTGCCTTGCAGAGCCACAGCAACGAACGGCGCACTCACTACCACTCTCACCTCTCCCCCCATCTGACCCTCTCTCCCCTGCGTGTCCCTCTGCCTTGCAGAGCCACAGCAAGGCACGCCGCAGTCACTACCACTCTCACCTCTCCCCCCATCTGACCCTCTCTCCCCTGCGTGTCCCTCTGCCTTGCAGAGCCACAGCAACGAACGGCGCACTCACTACCACTCTCACCTCTCCCCCCATCTGACCCTCTCTCCCCTGCGTGTCCCTCTGCCTTGCAGAGCCACAGCAAGGCACGCCGCAGTCACTATCACTCTCACCTCTCCCCCCATCTGACCCTCTCTCCCCTGCGTGTCCCTCTGCCTTGCAGAGCCACAGCAACGAACGGCGCACTCACTACCACTCTCACCTCTCCCCCCATCTGACCCTCTCTCCCCTGCGTGTCCCTCTGCCTTGCAGAGCCACAGCAAAGCACGCCGCAGTCACCATCACTCTCACCTCTCCCCCCATCTGACCCTCTCTCCCCTGCGTGTCTCTCTGCCTTGCAGAGCCACAGCAAAGCACGCCGCAGTCACCATCACTCTCACCTCTCCCCCCACCTGACCCTCAAAAAGAACCCTGCGTGTCCCTCTGCCTTGCAGAGCCACAGCAAGGCACGCCGCAGTCACTACCACTCTCACCTCTCCCCCCATCTGACCCTCTCTTCCCTGCGTGTCCCTCTGCCTTGCAGAGCCACAGCAAGGCACGCCGCAGTCACTACCACCTTCACCTCTCCCCCCATCTGACCCTCTCTCCCCTGCGTGTCCCTCTGCCTTGCAGAGCCACTGCAAGGGGCGCCAGTCACCACCACTCTCTCCTTTCTCCAATCCCAACACAACCCTCCCACAAAACCCCTTACCCCAATCCCGTGCACCTGACACAACAGTCCCAGGGTCGTTCAACCTGTTGATATGGCACATGAACCAGCTAGGAATTCCATTCGCCAGCGATGTGTTTTTACGAGGCATTTCAGCCTCGTTCAGCCGCCCCGGGCACAGCGTGATCGTGCTCCTCCTCAAGCACATTGCCTATTGGCTCTGCGGGGTGAGTTCATTCGTGCCATTTCGCATGCCCTGCTCCCATCAACGGTCCGCTCGATAATGGTGCTCGTTTGCTCTTGCGTTGCAGGTCGAGTTGAAGATCAAAGGGTCAGGCATGACGCCGAGCAACAAAGACAACCGCGCCGCTGTTGATGGGTATCACGTCAAGGTCCGGGACTGGGTTAGAGCTTGCATTGCCTGCAGGAACGATGACAGGGGGCCTTGGTGGGACAGCACCCACAACGCTTGGAAGTTTGCGGGCGGGCAATCGAAAGTGTTTATCAGCAATGATGGAGTGGATGATTGGTAGATGATTCAAGTAGTAGACTATGTAGGTATAACGATTTGGACGCATTGTGAAATTGGAATGCCAGTATTTAAAGAATTTGAAATAAATAAATAAATAAATAATAATATTAATATACATTTACGCACTAAAAAAGATTATAAATTGGTGTACATTTATCCACAATTGTTTACCCGGTAACATTCGCGACATTGTTACCTGCGACAGAGGTTACCAGTTTATGTTACCGTGTAGACACGAGTTACTGACATTGGTTACTGCGTACTTCCCAATCAATCGCGACCCCTAGGAATTTACAGATAAGTGGGTGTATTCCAATCAATACCTTAAAAAATTGCACAATACCATCGCGGGATTGGTTGGAGTGGACATTGGCGGTCGAATACGAACACGCCATGTAGGATTCGAACAAGGAAACACATTCATAGCTACGTCAAACCTGCTTTCACACAGATGCCTTACGCATCCATCTGCTCGGCCAGCAACGAATGCTACACTCAAGGTAAGCTGTCGATTGGACGAATCAAGACGTTTTCTATGGCAGGTTAACACTAAGCAGTTTCCAACGTGGCTCCTCTTCAACGACGGGATTCATGCACCACGTAACTTTACCACTTCGGACTCACAAGGCCAGATCATCCCCCTTTCATCCAAGCGGGCGGAACCCCACCTTCCGGTCCTCCAGCAACATGCATGGGCCCGTCGTCGTCACAGGCGTGCAGAACAGTCTCTGTGGAACATCTCACGCCCACACAAGGAATACCAGCATGAGACTCTCCTCTGGCCAAGCCCGAAGAGGAAGGCAAACGCCCGTCACGCCATGGCGAGTTTGCCTGAACTACAATATGGCGACACGTGCTGGCGCCAGGAAGCTCCGCCTGCGTCAGCTCCCTCTCAATGGATGAGCGCCATGTCTCCCGCACTGACTGGTTTGCTCGAGTGTGACGTCAGTGTATGGCGGTTCGGCTGTATGATGTGCCTTCCAAGCCGCATTTTTCGGTCTTGCCTCAATGTCTTGCCATTTGGCATCGAACGCTTGTTCTCCCTCGAGAGACAACGTTCTCCCTTCGGGGAAGTAGTTTGCTTGGGTGTCGCTCCCAGCATAACCGCGCACCGCGTATTCTGTGCTCCTCTGGATCCGTTCACCCACGCCGCGACGCGGCTGCTCGCGCCTGATCTTTCCTATTTCTACCCCCCCTCGACTTCCCCTTTCTTCGTCGCTCCCGTCATGGCCACCACTCAGGGCTTTGACGCAGTAATGGCCGACAACGGAGTCACCGTTCCCTCCGTGAGCGACCTCTTGCCGGACGAGGGACAATCGATGCCGCAGGCCAAGAAGATTTGCACGGGGGAAACCTCGTCGTCTGCGCGACCTGCTCCTGCTCCTGTCATGGACCCGGTGGCTGACCCTGAAGCGGCCCCGGACTTCACCCTCAACGGTCTGGAGTCCAGCGCGGCGCCAACACAGGTGCTGGCTGGCCCCCTCCAGCGGCTGCGCCGCAATCGCGACGTGGTCGGAGAGATTGTACATAACCTGGTACGAGACACCCTCACTTTGGTCACCATCATCTTTCCGGATAGCCTAGCTGATGTGCACCGCAGCAAGATCAGCAGTCGTGTTCGCGCTGGTTTGCGTCCTGCCTTCTTCCCGCACTCTAACCGTGTACCTACGTTCGAGTCCTCCCCTGGTGAAGTCCTCCGACTCCCCCGTCGAGCGTACGCGAAGCTGGTGTTCCAGCTCCCCACACGGGATGACGCCAGGGGCTTCCGCCGAGCATTCCCGATGACCTTCAACTACAACGGTGGTTCTGTCGAGCTGAAGCTCTACGACGATCCTGAGCCGGCTTTCACGGCGGCCAAAGCCCGGGGTGAAACTCACCTGGTCATCCGCAACATCCCCTTCGGGTACTCCGTGAGCGCGATTCGCCAGCTGCTCACGACGAGCAGCACGCACGATGCGCGGAAGTGGCTGTCCGACATCCGCGTTTTCCACAAAACGACCGACCCGTACGAGGAGATCTCGCAGCCCCAGATGATGGGGCTTCCTGTCGCGGAGCCTGACGATCCTTGCTTCGAAAATATCCCCGCGGTACTCTGGCTTGAGGACGCTCAGCTGCCGATGATCATCAACCTGTCATGTCACTCGTGTGACATTTGCACGAGCAACCATAGGACGCGTGACCATCAGTGGTTTGCGGTGACGCGCCGCAGGAATCTCCCCAACCGTTACACCATCACAATCGGGCAACTGCAGAACGTCACGGGTACGCATCTGGTTGTCCCTGCCTTACGCCGCGCTTCTGTGTCACCATCATGTTTTGCTGTTCACTGCATGCTCTGGTTCGGTTCAGATCACGCACAATACACGCTGTCTGCTTCCGTGCCACACTACCGTTCTGCCACTTACCTTGCTCTTCTGTGCCACCGTTCTGGCAATGTTCCGAGCCTTCCCGTCCCTGATTTGGTTCTTCCCCCTGGCCTCCCTAGGTCATACGCTATGGTTGGCGGCGGTAGGACCCTGTCTGCCAAATCCCCTTCTCTCCCCTTCTCCCCTGTGCGGTATGCCCTGCCCTGCTTGCTAACCAGCCAAGCTGCTCGGACAAACGCCGGTGCCTCTGGCTGTCAAAGCCGACCCCGGGATCCTGTACATCGGTTCCGAGGACGATGTCGAACTGTGGACTTGTGCGATATGCGACTTCGAGTGCGGGCCTGCCCTCGACAGTGCCTTTGCGCACATCCACTCCCCTGGCCACGGGCTTCGGCTCATGCAGACGGAGACTCAGACCACTGCCCTGGAGACCTGGGGCCCCATCAAGGCGCACGATTTGAGGCAGCGCGAAGAGATTGCCTCCTTCCTCGCCTCACTTCTGTAGACCACAACTGCTTGTGTGCTGTTCAGTACGTTACAACACGCCGTCTGAGCCCGGCGCTGGCTCTGTTAGGATTGCTGGTGATGGCCATGTGCTGGCTGTATCATTCCCTTAACAAAACCTGTTTTGGCCTTGATGAACCTTCCCCTTATAAGGACATCTGGTGCAATAGCCGTCCTGTTCTCCTATGGCAACACTTCCCTTACACGAAACCCCAGGCTCTTTATTGCTCCTGGTTAATCTGTTACTTCACTACCTTTCTGGCATACCCTTCGAACCTCGGATGGACGCACTTACTGTTCTCAATGCCCCCGTGGATGTGTGCATCTAGGTGCACAGGGGGCCTAAAAGTGTTTCCATGTTAGTCCCAATCACCATCTCCTGCCTCAATATCAATGGGCTTAACTCTCTGCTTAAGATGGATGAGTTACGAGCCTCATTTGTTAGAATGCCTGATATCTTAGTTCTCATTGATACACGACTTACCAAAAATTTCTCTAAACTCATACGTAAATTTCGGCCCAAAGCTTATGCCCAAACACCGCCAACGGTCACCAACGGCACCGCTGACCCAGGAGGCATAGCGCTTCTGATTTTTCACCCCGCCATCTCCATCCTTGACCGTTCATCTTCCGACGACGGTCGGTTTCTCATGACTCATATTCGTTTATTCCATGAACAGTTTCGCTGTTTCTGCGTGTACGGCCCTAACTACCAGCCTGCGCGTAGGCGTTGGTGGGAAACCAAGCTTGACTCCGCACTTGACATTGCCTCTGCCACACAAGCAACAATGGTCATGGGTGATTTCAATGTTGTTACCGCGCCCATTGACAGAAACCGTGAACTTCGCACCACAGAAATCCGAGAAGGAGCATTACTCACCTCTATCATAGACAAACACGACCTCGCTGACGCCTTCCGTGTTCGTCACCCCGACACGGCGGAATTCACTTTTGAATCCTCATGCTCTGGCGGCACGACGGCAGACCCGCCCTCTTCCCGCTTGGACAGAATCTACTTGTCCAACGCTTGGACCCCTCGACTTCTTGCAGCTTCACACCAACCTGTGGCCCACACAGTCTCTGATCACTCGCGCTATCCGGAAATCCTGCTCGGCTTTACTAATCCGAACTGTGCCCCACGTGCTTGGAGGCTACCTCATGCACTCATACACAGACCCTTCGTGCAGAAACCCACCAGAGAAGCCTGCCAACACCTCCCACCCATGCTACGTCCTTCGGAGTGGGATCCATGGAAGAAAAGGCTCTGCCTCTTCCTGCGCCAACACTCCCGGGAAGAACGCCTTCGTGTCCAACACACGCTCACCCATCTGCAAAACGAAATCTGCCACCTTCAACTCACCTTGGCACGTGCTCCACGAGACGACGACGCGCGCGCAAAGCTTGACCAAACGTCCAAACAGTTCGACAAATACATTGCCAGCAGAGCCGCCGACATAGCTCTCAAGGCCAAACTCAAGGTCGAGGGCGCTAAGGAGATGGGGCTACCCTCCCTTCTAAGCGGCCTCACGTCACGTATTAAGGCTGCTCTCATTCCTCACCTCACTCTTCCGACCGGCGAACAAATACAAGACCTACACTCCATGTCCGCACACTGCACCAGTTTCTACACCACCCTGTACAGTGGCCAGGACAAGACCTCCCCTTTCCCCAATTTTTGGAACCATATCTACCCTTCCTCCCTCCCACAACCTCTGACTTCACGGTTAGCGGCGCCTATCTCGCTCCAAGAAGTCAAACGAGCCTTGAAGAGTCTCGCGCGTGGTAAAACTCCAGGACCTGACGGCCTTGCAGGAGATTTTTTCCGTGCACACTCTGAGCTCCTGGCTCCTGCGCTCCACCGGCTCTTTACCGCCATTGATCAAACGCAGACAATGCCACCCTCAATGCTCCACGGGCATACTGTTCTCATACCCAAACGCGCTGACTCAGCATTCGTCGAAAACCTTCGACCTATTACCTTAATGAACTCGGATTACAAAGTGCTCGCACTTTGCCTTGCCCAGAGGCTGCAGTTAACACTGCGCAGGCTCATTCACCCTGCTCAGTCGGCGTTCATCAAAGGCCGCCGCATCGGTGACACCATCAATGACACGCTCGACCTCATCGAATGGGCCGAAACAAGACAACTCCCCCTTGCGCTTGTTACTGTCGACATTAAGAAAGCGTATGACATGGTAGATCGCGACTTTCTCTACACATGCCTTTCCCACCTTGGGCTACCTCAGGCTTTCGTCTCTTGGGTCAAGCTGCTTCATTCTGGCACCAGCACGCAAGTCCTTGTTAACAACCTGGCGGGCCCCTCTTTCCCCGTGCTCACCGGCGTGCGGCAAGGCTGCCCCCTGGCGCCTCTCCTTTTCATCTGCGTCATCGAGGTACTTCACCGACACCTCTCGGTCGCCCTCCCTGGCTTCGCCCTCTCACCTACGCAGCGCCGGCTCGCGGCATGCTATGCCGACGACATGTCACTCTTTGTGAACTCAGGCAACGAGGTACAGACGGCAATTCGTCTCCTCCAAGACTTTGCGGAGGTCTCAGGCGAATACCCTGGCTGGTCTAAGTGCTCGCTTTTGCTCTTCCATGTTCCCCCCGATGATGTTCCCTCCGCGTGCCCCATTCCTGTACGACAACCACACGTTGCCGAGCGCATTTTGGGAATTTATATCCAATCCGACGCCCCAGGAGCCACCACCTGGGACAAAATTACGGGGAGAATCCAAACCACAGCTGCAAACCTTGCCAAGATCCATGCCACTGTCACCTGCCGGTCCGCCTTGAGCTCCGAGCGCCTCGTCCCCCTATTCGCCTTCGGCGGGCGTTTTCAGCCACCCCCCGAGGGGATCACAAAACAAATTGACATCACAGTTGGGAACCTCTTGTCCACCTCCAAATACCGCGCGCAAGGCCGTGGGACGCGGCTCGTCCCCAAAGACTACCTATACAACAAACGCCGTCATGGGGGAGTCGGGGCAATTGAGCCTTCCAAGTATCTGCAGGCGCTTGATGTGCAACGCGCTGCAAGACGGTTCCTCCCAACTCCCATGGAAGAAATCGCCAGGTCCTGCTGTTCTTTACCGTACGGATTGCACTGCTTCCTAGCACATAAAGACATCCTCAAATTCCTACCTGACAGCACGCCGGCGCACGCAGTGGCAGAACTCACTGCTACCCTGAAGCTCCCAGCGGCGGTTCACCCTCCAAGGCTCGAACCATGGGTGCTCATGGCCGAACCCCTCGCTTTCAACCGCGAGATTGTGCGGCCTCATAAACGCCCCTTCGGACGCATCAAAGGCGAGAAATTCCTACTCACCAAGGAACTGCGCCTAGGTGACATCCTCGCTCCCACGCCTGCAGGATCGCGTAAACTCCAAGAGGACGAAATCAAAGCCAAGTTCCCACCAAAAGAATTCCCCGGCGCGCTCAGGGTCATCCTGGACATTTATCACGCGGTTCCCAAGGCTTGGTGGCCCGTCCTCGACGCCTTCTCACCCCCTCCTAACTATCTAGGGGCTGTGGAGTGGGCCATTCGGGCTTCCCACAGACACGGGGCGTCACAGGTGCTACAGACGAAGGCGGTCTTCTCCAACAACACGGCGCGTTTCAACTGCTTTTACGTCAACAACATGAGGATTGCCGAGCACCCTTCAGGAACCTGCATCCTCCCTATCAACGAGGTCATCCCTGTTTTCGTTCGCAACGGCTGGTTGGCGGGCACCTTCTGCTCTGGTGCTGGCCTGGGCAGCAGGCTTGAATTTCTGCACCACTGTTCGTCCCTAGCATCCATTCGGAACCTCCTCTACACCAGGAAGACACTGACGCATGTTGATCGGTGGAATGAGCTCCTGCCGACAGCACTCGAGTCCCTTCCGTCACTTACACATCCCTTCCTCACCGAACAACCAAGCCGACAAAAGGACGTGCTGTATCGGCTCTACATCCGTTCGCTACCATGCGGGACAAGGGTACCTTTTACCCCACTCGGGCGGAACTGTGCGCGATGTAACGACGGGACGCCTGAGACACTCACTCACATCTTTAACGACTGCGGGAACGCCCCCGCGGTCATCACGGCTCTTCAGCATTCCGCCCGCGAGCACCTCGGCATCACGCTTCCGGCTGAGCTTGCGCTCTTTCCGCCGCCCACTCCCGCTGGCCAGGTCGCGACCTGGAGCCTACTCGTGGGGGCAGCTGCTAAAGTTCTATGGAACGAACGATGTGACGCGGTGCACCACCAGATTGAGGTCCCCGAGCCGCAAACGCTTCACACGGTACTCGCCGCCTTCCTTCTGGCGTGCAAAATTTTCTTCATACGACGGTCCAAGGCCTCGGCGAAAAAGCAGAAGAAAAGCGCATCGAGATTCAGGCTAGGTATCAAACGACGCCTACTACAGTTTGACACGGCGGGCATTCCATCGCTCCACCCTGATTTACGCAAGTCATGGTTTCGACGCGAAATTTTTCATCCTCCATAAAGAGGCCCTCTCTACATACGGAGGTGTTGGACCAGTGTAGTTTATACTGCACTTGCTTGCTAGGCAGGGCAAGAATGCGCCGTCTGGCGCAAGCCTTTTAGGTTTGAGGTTACTCACTCTTGTTCCAACACTGTATGCATGGGTTACGACCTATCAATAAAACTTAAAACTTAAAAAACTTAAAGCTTTCACACAGATGCGATCAGCGGCTAAGATTTCCCTAAGCAGTCAAAGTTCCGATGAAGCTGCTTTGACTGAATGCAAGATTTACGGCTAAGATGTGGTTTTTTTGTCGAACTGAAACCTACGACAGAGCAGCCTTTCCACCCTCTCTGAAGCACCTGACGCGAAGGATGCGTCATTGCAGCTGTGATGCTGCTTTCCCGTAGCTTTCATAGACCCCATTACTTCCGATGAATGAAAGTCCAAGTCTCAAACCCGCCACACAGTCTGCCTGCGGAGGGAAGCGCTGAAGTTATCCCACGATATGAGGTGCGTCCGCCGTCCCCCC